TTCAAAACCAGCCTGGTCTACAAAGTGAATCAAGGACAGCTAGAACTCTGTTACACAGAGAAACTCTGTCTGGAAACTGCTGGCCATTCCCAGCTCACCAAAGGTGGGGGGAGGAGAGGGTGGGATTCCGTGTTGGGATGATGGCTCCATAGTTAAAGGCAGTGGCCTTTCTACCTGTATCCAGTCCCTGAAACCCAGATAAAAGTAACTGAACAGAACTGCAGCTTCTGTGCAGAGAATAAACTTGTAAAGGCTCCACAGACCATGGCGTGGGCCAGTGAAGTCATTCATGTTATACTTAAGGCAAAAAAAAAAAAAAAACAACAAAAAAAGATGGAGAATTGGCACAGCCAGGGAAGAACACTTGAGGATGGGAACAGCCTGTGATGGCCATCAGCTTTGCTCCCTGAGGCCATCCTCCCATCCAGAGTCATGGTTAGTGAGTAGGTAATAAGTTGCCTATGAAACTAGGTCAAGGAGGTAGTAAGGGCAATAATGGCATAAAGGCGGCAAGGCACACCAGAGCGAAGAAAGCCACAGCAGAGGCACAGGAATAGAAGGGCTTCATAAAAGCAGGAGGGTGTGCTCCCATGGAAGGAAGCCGTGAAAACAAAAATGCCTTGACAGCAGGGAATTATGGTAAGAACACAGTGGGGGAAAATAGCAGCTTCGTGTCTTCGGGAAGCCGGGTATGGCGGTTCACAGCAGCCACCTCAGCGCTTTGGAGGCAGGGAAATCTGGAGTTCGAGGGCAGCTGCACTAAGTCCTAAGAACCTGTTTCAAAAAACGAAAGAAACAAAGTGTACACCTTTAATCCCAACCCTGAAGTGGCAGAGGCAGGCAGATATTCGTGAGTTTGGGGCTAGCCTGGGTTACATAGAAATTCCAGGACAGGAGGGGCTACACAGTAAGAACCTGTCAAAAACAAACAACAACAACAACAAAGAAGAAAGGATGAAGAAAAGGGAAGAAATGAAGAAACAAAGAACAAAAGAAAAGGAGTAAAACAAAAGAAAAAATAGTGATTAGGTGGAAGGACCATTGAGATCCTTAATTTTGTTTGTTTGTTGTTTTAAGCTGAGGCTAATGCAGGCACTCAAGTTACAAATAACAAAAATAACATAGAAAGTGGCCGGGAGGAAGTACATGCATAGTTCTGAGGCAGATGGGTTAAATTTGGGGGACTGGGTTATTCTTTTATTTCCTTCTGTGATTTCCGGTCCTGAGCTCAAGGACTCTCACAGCACTGGACCACTGAACTAGAGGGCCTGGCTTTTAATCCTCTGTTTTGAGTAAGGGTCTCACTAAGTCGCTCAGAGAGAACTGTGAACCTCCTGTCTCTGCCTTCTAAGTACTGAAATTACAGGGAGAGCCACTGTGGCTGGCTTAACAACCTCCATTCTTTTTATACACTTTTTTTTTTTTTTCATGAGTGCCTTATCTGCATGTACACCTGCATGCCAAATGAGGGCATTAGATCCCAGTATAGGTGTTTGGGAGCCACCATGTGGTTGCTGGGAATCCAACTCAGGATCCCTGGAAGAGCAGAAAGCGCTCTTAACCACTGAGCCATTTTTCCAGCCCCCGTTCTTTTTAAATAATTAAAAAAAAAATCATTTCCTTTTATGTGTATGAGTGTTTTACCTGGATGTATGTGTACCATGTGTCTGATGCCTGGAACTAGAATTACAGACAGTGGTAACACACGAGACTCCCATGTGTGTGTTAGAATTCAAACCTGGGTCCTCTGCAGGGGTACGCCCACAGCCTACAATCTGAACACTGGCTGTGAGGGTGGTGGCCTCTCTAAGTATTTAGGAGGCAGAGCCAGGCGGATCTCTGAGTTCCAGGCCTATAAACAGAGTTCCAGGACGGCTAGGGTTACACAAAGAAACCCTGCCTCAAACACACACACACACACACACACACACACACACACACACCAATAAATGGCATGCATGCATTTATCACACCAGTTTTAAAAGCACTGAGTATTGAACCCTGACCTTCCTACATGCTTGACAGGCACTGCACCAACTGAGCTACATCCCCAGGCTCAAATGAGGCCTTCATCCTCATCCTCATCATTACACAACAAGAGTATTCTTTTCTTTTGTTGTGGTTATTTTTCTTTCTTTTCTTTTCGTTTCGTTTTGTTTTGGAGACACGGTTTTTCTGTGTAGCCTTGGCTCCCCTGGACTCACTTTGTAGCCAAGGCTGGCCTTGAACTCACAGAGATCCGCCTGCCTCTGCCTCCCAGAGCGCTGGGATTTCAGCCGTGCACCACTGCTGCCCGTGGCCCTGTGTTATTGTTTTTCAAGACAGGGTTTCTCTGTGTAGCCCTGGCTGTCCTAGAGCTCACTCTGTAGACCAGGCTGGCCTCAGATTCAGAGATCCACCTGAATTTTCGTCCTGAGTGCCGGCATTAAAGGCATGCCCCCCACCAAACACAGATCCAAAGGTTGTGGGTTTTTTGTCATTGTTGTAGTTATTGTTTTCCTCTGTGTAACCCTGACTGTCCTAGAGCCCATCTGTAGACCAAGCTGACCTGGAACTCACAGAGATCCACCTACCCCTGCCTCCCAAGCGCTGGGATCAAAGGCGTGCGCCACCACTGCCTGCCAAAAGTCTCCTTATGAGGCTTACTAATGAACTCATACTCCTTTTTTTGTTTTGTTTTAGAGATTCGTTGCCCAGGTTGCTACCTCAATTTCCTGAGTAACAGGGATGGTAGCTGTGTCTCACCATAGCTGAATGCAACCTGCCTTTTTCATTCAGCGACCTTTCTCTTTCTGAGAGGGGTATGATTGGAACCGAGTATGTGTTCTGTGCATGTTAAGTACCTGTTGTGCTCTGAATCACTTTACTTCATGCACAGCCATCCCTTTCCCACTCCCAAGCCCTCCTACCTTGCTCTCTTTTCCTTATTTTCTGTGTCATTGATCACCTTCTAACATACATTATATTTTATTTTTTTTAACTTTTATTTCTCATATTAATCTTGTTTTTCTGTCCATTCTAGGAATGTAAGCTTTTTCAAGGTAAGAATGAGTGATTTGATCTACCTCTGGGGTTCAGTTAAGAGCCTGGTACTCAGGAATAATATTGAATGAATGAATGAGTGAATGAATGAAATGTGCATAATATCTATTGTCAAACCTGAATAACAAAGTCCACAATAGTCACCCTGTGAATTTTAGGTCCCTATATCCATTCTCCAAATCTCTTCCTCAGTTACCTGCTGTCCTATTCTCTAATTATTTATTGATTTAATTGTTTAATCTGTATTGCCCAGATTGATCTTGAACTACTGGGCACAAGCCATCCTACTAACATGCACCACCACGACTTTCTCTGAATTCGTGTGTGTGTGTGTGTGTGTGTGTGTGTGTGTGTGTGTGTGTGTTCTGGGGAAGCAAACCAAGGGCCTCATGCATGTCAGGCAAGCACTCTACCCATGAGCTGGATCCCAGGCCCTAGTCTCTCCTTTGAGATTAAGTTTAGGGAAATCCTACAAAGTTCCCACCCATCTTCTAAGAAAAAACAAGCCCAGGCAATCAGCTTTACGAATTAAAACTGGTAAACTAGGTGTGGTGACCCAAGCCTTTAATTCCAGCATTTGGGAGGCAGACACCGGCAGATCCCAGAGTTCCACGCCAGCCTGGTCTACAGAGTGAGTTCCAGGGCCGCCAGGGCTGCACAGCGAAACCCTGTCTCTAAAAAGTAGGAGGAGGAAAATGAAGAGGAGGAGGAAGCAAAAAAGGAAAAAGAGTTTCAACTGCCTACCATATTAGAAAACTGTCCTCCACAGAGACAGAATGGCCCAATGGGTAAGTAAATGTATCTGTGATTGCTGTTGGCAACTTGTTGCAAAGATTTAAACATCAACATTACTGTGATTTTTTTTTTTCCCCTACCTATAGTGCATGTTTCGGGTGTAATGCTCAATGAGTTTTGACAAATGTTATTTGCTTTGAGACGAATGGCATTTAAGATAGATCACTTGGAAATATGTAACCGGTTAGGAAAAAGAAAATAAGGGATGCGGAGAAACAACCAAATGTGGACAAGTAGAGACAGGAAGCACGGGCCTGAGCTTTATCCTGGGGTCTCAAAGCAATGGGAACTATAGCCCTGAGATGTCTGGCAACTTCGAGCTACTTTTCTAGTCAGGCGTAATGGTGAACACCTGTAATCGCAGCGCTTGGAAAACAGAGGCAGGAGACTCGCCGGAGTTCAGCAAGGGTGTGTTACACAGGGAATGAAACACTGTCTAAAGCAAACAAACAAATAAAACAAAGGGAGGGGGAAGTACCTTCGGAAAGAGCCGGCTGCCGGTTCAGCCACTTTCCCTTGTGTTTATTAGGCCACCTGGGACTGAGTTGTGGCTTTCCGCCCTACGATTTTTTTTTTTTTTTCTTTTCTTCTTTGTCACCAACTACGCCCCACATCCCCACCTACCAATAGGCAAGGTTCTAGTCCCAGACAGCCAGACGGCCGTGGCACCCACCCACCTGGCCTAAACCGGACTGGGATCCGCCTGAGTAGACGCAGCATCGCGGGCGGAGAAAGCCCTGCACTAGTCCCTCTCGGAGTCGGCCACCCTCGGGTCCCCTGGGCACCTCGAGGCATGAGTGACTCAACCCGGCCACCTCCCAACCAGTCTCGCTCTCCCTCTCCTGAGAGACTGTAACCCTCAAGCGGTTTTCAGGTTCAGCTTTTGCTTAGAGACCGCGATCCTGAATCCAGAGCGGGGAAACTGAGGCAGGACAAGAGATCCCGGGTGGCGGGTCGGTGCCTGGGGGCAGACCCTACCTCCTCAGACCTGCACTGCTCTCTGAGGTCCCCTGCTCCGGTAGCCAAGCCCACAGCCGGGGTGCACGAGGCGCCGCCCACGCGGCCGGGGAAATTTGGGGGCGGGGCCTGCTGGAGGGCGGGGCGGGCCCGGAGGGCGGGAGCGCCAGCCTGGGCTTGCACGGCAGAGGTGGCCGCGGTGGCCGTGTCCCGGTTCTCCCGGCGACTCTGGCACTATGGAGGGGACCCAGGAAGACCTGAGCGGGAAGATGCGGCTCCTCTTCAGCCCTGCCGCTCGGACCAGCCTCCTGATGCTCAGGCTCAACGAGGCGGCGCTGCGGGCGCTGCAGGAGTGTCGGCAGCAACAGGTGCGGCTGGCCCCGGCCCCTTCTTCCCATCCCCGCCAACCCGACCTCGGCCTCCGCCGGCTCTGCGGGAGAAGGGACTCGGGGAGGTGCAGCTACCGCAGGTCCCAGCCTCCCTGCGTCCCCACCTCTCCCAAGCGAAGCCCGCCAGGCAGGTGCCCCCGGGCCGCCCAGTCCTGGGGACTTTGCTTCCTTTGTGCTCAGCTGGTGCTCTTCCCGCAGGTACGGCCAGTGATCGCTTTCCAAGGCCACCGGGGGGTAAGTGCGGATATGAGAGGGAGGTTGGTGGTGAGGGAGCATGAGCGTGGGCTCCGGGAAGGAGCGTTCCGGTCTGAGGAAGTTGTGAGAACTGAACCCTAGGAGGGGGTGGGGCCCGTGGGGCTGTGGTCCCAGGAGGCTGTGCAGTCTTAGCCTCTTGGGGGAACGCGGACCCAGCTGCACCTGGTGTGCTAACAAGCCCCTTGGGATCTCTTTAGTCTTAGACGTGTTTGGGGAGGAGAAGCATGGACAGGAGGAGGGGCCGACTTAACTGGGTTTGCCATCTCCTTCCACCCCAGTATTTAAGGCTCCCAGGCCCTGGATGGTCCTGTCTTTTCTCCTTCGTAATATCCCAGTGTGGCCAAGAGGGCACTAGTGGTGGCTTGGACCTCGTGTACCAACGCTTAGGCAGGTAAGGGGAAACAGACGACAGGTAAGAGAAGCTTTCAGAAAATGGGAAAGAAGTGTTCAAAAGATCTCCGACCCAGTTTTCTCTTGTTTTCCCCCCACTCCTCTTCCCAGAACTGGGCCTAACTGTCTGCACTGCCTGGGCCCGCTTAGAGAGCGGCTCACTATTTGGGCAGCCATGGATACTATCCCAGCTCCACTGTTAGCTCAGGAACACCTCGCTGAAGATACCAGAGAGTCTGAGATCTGGCAGGATACAGGAGATGATCCTGAAGGCCATCCTCAGAGGGCACTGGAAGAGGTGAGACCAGAAACGGCAGGAAGTCAGCATGAGGTGGGGCACCCAGGTCCAGGTAGCCAAGTTGTTCCTGCAACTTCCCCTGACAGGTGTCTGACCCACTGGCAAGCAACCATGGACAGTCACTCCCAGGATCTTCCCAGGAGCCGGAGGCACAATGGGAAGTGAGGTACGGGGACAGGCTGGGTCTGCTCTCCACCCTTACTGCTATCATAAGATAAAGGTCTACCACTCACCCTGGTCTCTCCCTCCCATTCCTTCCAAAAGCCCTAGGAGCCACAACTACCTCCCAAACCGAGACCCGGATCAGCCACTGCCTTCTCCGGCCTGCCAGAAACGCCTGGACAAGGTAAGCAAGGACTTAGGCTTGGCCTCAAACTCAGATTCACCTCTTTGTCCCTGCTTCCTGAATGCTGAGATGTTCAGGGAGAGAGATGGGGGCAAGAGCTTTTCAAAGAGTACTTTAAAGGGCCGAGTGTAGCTTGATTGGTATAGGACTGGTACAGCATGAAGTCTGGCATGTGCCTATAATCTTAGAAGGTCTCCAGAGACAGGAGATCAAGGCCATTCTCTGCTACACAGCATAATGAGTTTGTGGTCAGCCAGGACTACCCACCTAAGGCTGCTCACAAAACAAGTCTGGGGAGATGGCTTATCAAGGAAGTGCATTTACTGCACAGGGATTGGACTGAGTTTGAGTCCCTAGCACCCAGGTGAAAAAGCTGGGCAATGTTTCCTGTGCCTCTACCTGCAGCTCTTGGGGAATGGAAGGAGCTTGCCGGCCAGCCAGCCTAGGAAAAACAGAACCCTAGACTTCATAGGGCAGGGGCTGGAGACATGGCTCAGCGATTAAGAACACAGTCTGGGTGGCTGGAGAGATGGCTCAGTGGTTAAGAGCACTGCCTGCTCTTCCAATAGGTCCTGAGTTCAATTCCCAGCAACCACGTGGTGGCTCACAACCATCTATAATGAGATCTGGTGCCCCCCTCTGGTGTGCAGGTGTGCATGCATGCAGAACACTGTATAAATAAATAAATACTAAAGAACACAGTCTGCTCTTCCAAAGGTCTTGAGTTCAATTCCCAGCAACCACAGGGTGGCTCACAATCATCTGTACTGGGATCTGATGCCCTCTTCTGGCATGCAGGTGTACATGCAGATAGAGCACTGTTACATGGCAAAATAACTAAATCTTTAATAAGGAAAAAGAACAAGGCAGAGAGCGATGAAGGACACCCCATGACCTCCACCACATGTGAGCACACCACAACACTGTCTTCTATTTGGGTTTTTTTTTTTTTTCTTCAAGACAGGGTTTCTCTGTGTAGCCTTGGCTGTCCTAGACTCACTTTGTAGACCACGCTGGCCTCAAACTCAGAGATCTGCCTGCTTCTGTTTGCCTCTCCAAGTGCTGGAATTACAGGCGTGAGCCACCATGCCCAGCAAGAATACTTTTTTAATTAGGCTAAAACTTAAAATTTAGGAGCTGATGAAATAGCAGTTTTTGACAAAAAAACAAAGAACTTTCTGCTTGCTGTTTGTTACAGATTTTTTTTTTTCAACAGAAACGTTCAGCACCTATACCCAGTGAAGAACCAGAGGAAAAGAGGCTCAGAGCTCTCCCTTTAGCCCCAAGTCCAATACAAGGGCTATCGGATCAGGAAGGAGAACACTGGGAGCAAGATGAAGACAGAGATTCCAGGCTGGAGCAGAATCTCTCAGTTCAAGCAGGTGAGTTAATGAAAGCAGGGTAAATACCAGTAGGAAAAAAAAGACCTATAATTACTTGTCTTCTTGCTTCCTAGCCTGTGAATCCCCAAGCTCCGAGGAGGTAGCAGATTATCTCCTGTGAGTTCCCCACACTTCCAATTTCATAGTTTCTACATGTATGCAGCCGAAGGCTTTTAGAGACAATGAAATTGAAAGCGTCATATCCCTGGCAGGCAGTACGGAGCCATCCACAGTGCAGAGCAGCAGCAGGCCTATGAGCAGGACTTTGAGACAGACTATGCTGAATACCGCATCCTGCATGCCCGTGTAGGGGCGGCAAGCCAGAGGTTCACAGAGCTGGGGGCAGAGATCAAGAGACTTCAGCGAGGGACTCCAGAACACAAGGTAAAGAAAGGCAGGATTCTAGCCTTACTATCATCTTCCTGCTCATGACCCCCGAAATGTTTATTTAGTGACTAAGCAAAGGGATAAGCAAACCTATTGTACTATTTGGTAGAATGAAAACAGAAGTTACTTCCACTTCTTTTTCCTCTTTTCCCTTCCAATTTTGAATGAGTGTTATTTTGTTTCAGGTGCTAGAAGATAAGATAGTCCAGGAGTACAAAAAGTTCAGAAAGGTAAGACAGGCTGCGAGCACAGAATCAATAAGGTAGAAGTCACTTTACTTTTTGACAAGGGTGCTTTTTCTCTGCAGCGGTATCCAAATTACAGGGAGGAGAAGCTTCGCTGTGAGTACCTGCATCAGAAATTGTCCCACATTAAAGGTCTCATCCTGGAATTTGAGGAAAAGAACAGGGGCAGCTGAAACTATCCAGAGGGCTCTTGAGTCAAAACATCTCTAAGCTAGAGCACATCTGCTTTTTTGATTTTGACCCTTACGTCCATAGTGGCAAGCAGAGAGTCATCCTAGGTTCCTGCAGACTGGGGGGGGAGGGGTAGCCATACTTTTTTTTAGGATGTGGGCATGGTGTCAATTCTCCCAGCTATGGCCTACTTTCCTCAGACGCTAGGAAAGTAGGAGACACTTGGCTTCAACTTTACTTCAAAGTCATTTTCAGATCCTGAGAAGTGACATTTCCAGGTCACACACCTTAAGACTAGGCAAATAAGCAAGTTGAGTCGGCTTGCAAAAATGAGAATTTCTGATGTCAGAACTCCTTGGACTTATAGCGTACCTAGATGTAAGGGCTTGGTGTCATTCATGTGCTATAACGTGGCTGAAAAATTAAAACCAATTGCTTCTGTGTCTTTTGTGTGGTCATTAGCCTTAGCTATCCAAGCAGCGTTGTCTCTCTGAGCTACCTTTGAGGCTCTCTGAAAGACTGAACCCCATGTTCCGGACCAGTGTTAAGAACTGGAGTCTCCAAGGTTATGGTCATCTTTACTCATACAGGTTAGGCACATGCTCTACCACTAAGCAACATTACCTGCCCCCAACGTTGTTTTTAAAGCAGCGTGTATGTTCCAGATGTGCATTTGTCAGTCTCTACCAAAAACATAGTGAAAAACAAGGGATTACAGTAAAATGTTTCACTTTGTGTGTTAATTAAGAATTAAGGCTGTGTATCTAGAATTATCTAGGGCTGAAAGCTACAATTATGGACAAGAGTCTAATTTAGCTATAAAAAGAGGGCAATACTTTAATCCATTCAAAAGAAAACAGATCTTTAGGTTCTTGTTCTTGCCAGGATTACACTGTTTGTTTCACTGGAGGAAAGTTAATGTCTACACCCAAGGACTTAGGGAGAGCTGCGCCCAGCAGTGCTGACAGCTCCTCACACAAGGCATTTCTAGGCAGAGAACAGCTCTTAGGTATGAACATGCAGAAACTTGGCTGCATGGCAGGGATAAGCAGTCTTCAGGACATGAACAAGGCCAGAAACAACTGTAATCTCAGCACCTGGGGCCTAGGGAGGGAGGACTGTCACAAGTTCAGGGCCAGCCTGGGCTACGGAGGAAAATTAAGAAATTTAAACAATTTAGAGATGGTAATGGAACCCAGCCAGTCCAAAGATATGGGGATCAGCATAAGTATTACAAAGCTTTAAAAAGATTGAGATTCATATAGCTTAAGGTGCTAGCCTCAAACCTGCCATGTAGCCAAGGATGACCTTGAACTTTGGATCTCTTTGCATCTATGAAGTGCTGGGATTACAGGTGTGTGTCAACATGCCTGGCTTAGATACAAGCATTGAAAAGCACAGACCAAACATTTCTAGCCCAAAGAAAGTTCTACAATAACAGATTAGAGACCCTGATTCTCCAATCCATGAGGGGAAGAAACCGACAGTATAAAGGGGGCACATTTATTGTCACTGTTCCAAATGTACAAAAAAAATTAGAAAATAACCCCAACTTAATTCCCCCCACCCCCACATTCTTCCCAACACAAATAATTTTCTCCCCAAACCACAAACATAAACTGGTCCTGGTATTTTCATAAACAGTGCAGCTAAGAAACAGTTTAGAGAAAATTTAACAGGATTCAGAATGTATCATTCTGTCCTCTGATGGTTTTGCCATCTCTGGTGTAAGAGTCCTTTTACAAAGTGGTGCATTTGGCTAATGCTTTAGAGGTCCTCTTGCGCCTTCTTCTTCTTCTTGGGTTTTTCTTCTTGAATTATAGGGGGGTTTGTAGCTTCTTTTTGTAGATAGCTAACAAAATCATTTAATTCACGGCCACCCTGAAGAAAAAGAAAAAAAAAATTTAATTTTAAGAGCACTGGCTGAGCATTTCCAAAGATTCTTGAGTGAGTTTTAACTCCCAACTACTACACAGTGGCTCACAACCATTTATAGTGAGATCTGGTGCCCTCTTCCTGTGCGCAGGGAGAATGCTATACATACAGTCAACAAACAAATCTTTAAACAACAACAAAATAGTTAAGGGCCAGTGAGATGGCTTAATGGAATTTGATTCCCAGATCCCAAGTGGTAGTAGAGACTCCCCAAAGCTGTCGCCTGACTTTCAAACACGTATCCACTGCCACAAATAAAATGACAATAAATATGCCATAAAAGAATTTGGTATCCTAGCTATAGAGATGGCTCAGCGGGTAAGAGCACTGACTGCTCTTCCAGAGGACCAGCGTTCCACTCCCAGCACCCACATGGCAGCTCACAACTGTCTGTAATTCTAAGAGCTGACATCCTCATACAGATGTACATGCTGGCTAAACACCATTGCAAATAAAATAAAAATAAATCATTAAAAAAAAAAAAAAAGCTGTATACATATCAATATGGTTTGTGCACCTGTGTGTATTTTGGGGAAATAGGACAACACACTTACTTCATATTTCTTTGGATTTAGCTTCTGGTTGGCTGGTGAGAAGTAGATGGTAGGAAAACTAGGAAAAAGGAAACAAAAGTTCACCAATGGGATCTCACAGTAATACTAACATACCTGTCCAGAAGTGTTCTAGAATAATTTTTCTTTGTGGATTTAATCTAATCAGATGTTACTCTCCATGAATGGCTAAATAAATACTCAAATGAGAGATCACAAGATAAGAGTAATTTTGGGACCCCACTGCAGAAACCTAAGAAATTCATCTCCCAAACTATGTTCAGCAAGGAAATAGTTTCTTGGTGGCTACTCAGATGGCTAAGGGTAGGGTAGCCTGAATTCAGGAGTTTGAGGCCAGCCTAGGTAAGAAAGTAAATTCCACCCCCAAACCCCCAGTGGCGCATGCCTGTAATCCCAGCACTTGGGAGTCAGAGGCAGGAAGATCTCTGTGAATTTGAGGCCAATCTGGTCTAGAAATTGAGTCCAGGACAGCCAAGGTTACACAGAGAAACCCTGTCTCAAAATCAAAACCAAAGCAAAGCAAAACTCCCACTTGTTCATCAGCTTACCCTTTGACTTCATATGGAGAAGGCACATCATTGGCTGTGGCATCCATCTTGGCTATGACAATATTTGGGTCTTTGCTGAGCTGTTAATAAGAAGGTCAAACTTCTTGTTTTTAAAAAGTCAACAACAAAGAACTTATCTGTAATTCCAGAACTGAAGAGACTGAGGCAGGGGTATTACCACCAACTTAGGTTGGCTTGAGCTATAGTGTAAAACCCTACCTTAAACCAATAAACACGAGCATGCACCCACCTACCCACTCTTGGAGATGGAAGCAGGAGGATAGCCACAAGTTCCAGGCCAGCTAACCACTTGTTTCCAACCCAGATCTTAGTGGCTCATGCCTTTAATTCTAGCTCTTTGGAGGTGAGAGCAGACAGATTTTAGAGTTTGAAGCCAGCCTGGCAAAGCTTTCACTAACAAGTACTTGCTGATCTATCACTTAACACAATTCCAGCCTTTTACCTGTTTTTAAAGGTTTTGTTTGAGTGAAAAGAACACAATAGTTTCTAACTTCCTAGCCTCTTTTTTCGTATTGGTTTTTATATACTACTACATAAAAAGCCAGGTCTAGTCTTCCGTGTGGGAGGCTGAGTACATGCTCAGGCTTTGAACCACAACAACTACACATACCCACTTTTAAATTTACCTGGCTTGAATTACATTATGAGGGCAAAACCCCAAAGCAGTTTAAAATGAATGACTATAAATTCATAAACCAACGTGGAGAAAACCCCAGACAATTTTAACTACGACACAGATATGAGCCTGATGTGCTTAGGTGGCTGTCTGTGAACGTCTCTACAGGCTACAGACACTAGGGGGCAGTCAAGAGCAAGCATGTAAACAATAGGAAAAATATTAGTATTAAGGAATTAAGGCTATGCTTAATATGTATGTAAACTTCTGGATCACTTTCCTACTCAGAAGGAGGCTCATACTTACTTTTTCTCCCAGCTCTTTGTATTTGGGTTCCAGATTCTTACAGTGACCACACCAAGGAGCATAAAACTCAATCAGCACGTCCTTATCTGCATCATTCACTATTTCATCAAAATTTTCTGCTACCACAACCTAGAAAACAGGAGACTCTCTTTCATAAAAAGTCACAGGAAACAAAAACAAATGCTACCTCATGGTTTGCTTCTTTACGACTTTACCTGTTGTGTGTATACATGCATAAATGTGGAGGCTTTCTCTCCTTCCACTGTTACGTGGTGACTCAACAGGTTTTTAGGCTTTTGCAACAACTGCTTTCCCTACTGAGCTACCTACTACAACTGTAATGGGTTTCTTAGCTGGGGGTGTAGCTCAGTGGTGTTTAATGCGGGTTTGAGCCCTAGCATTAAAGACAAACAAATGTCAGCATGTTTTTGTTTAGATCTATCAGGATTTGGGAAGAACCCACAGCTGACAGGTGGTAAGAGCTTGAGAACACACCTTGACAGGCCCGTCGTTGGTCTCTGGGATAGGTTCAGATTTCAGGTATCTCTTCAGGTTGCCATCAAAATAATCCTGCAGGAACCTTTCAAGAGCCTTGCCATCCCGCCTGCAAATGAAAGACGGAATCTCACCAGAATTCATGATCCTTTTCTCTCACTTCTACCTCCCAAATGCACCATACCACCACCATTCCCAGCCTCCACCTACTACTTCTAATGAAGTGGGATTATGTAAGAATTCCAAGCTGCTACCCTTTTCTTAGTCTGCAAAAACACAATCTTTCAAAGTACGTAAGCTGAGAAAAATGATATTCAGAGATTTTGACTAAGACTTCTCTCCCCAGCCCAATGCCATACTAAATCCTCAGCGTTTAGGCTTTAATGATTTTCTGAGTCAAATACTGAACCAATGCTACGTACGAGAACTCCTCCTGCATGACAAACTTCTCTCCTTTAGCAGTTCTGACAGCCACAACAGGAACCTCTCCAGTAGTGCTTTCCAAGCCAAAATCAGACAGTTCATGGCTAAAGGTTTTACGGCTAGCTACAGCAAAGGTGAGTTTGTGTCCAGCATCAAGGAATTTCTTTGCCACCATCATCACCCTGTGAGGAGGAAGTAAGAGAAATATCTGTACTACGACCATGTAATAGTATAACAAAGTTTACTTATTTATAATTAAAGAGACAGGGTATGTAGACCAGGCTGGCCTTGAACACAGAGTACTAGGATTAAAAGCCTGCATCAACATGCCAGGCTAAGACTTTGAAAACAAGAAGGAGGAAGCTAGAAAGCAAAGAGTTTATGATCCATTCAGCCTTCTAGAATCACTAAGTTGGTGATGGTACCTAATCCACGATAGGAATTGTCCTGAAAAGAAATTTATAAAGGAAAAATGGACAGAGAATCCGTAAACAAGTGGGCCAATGTTGTAAGTGCACTGCACATCAAGCCTACACCTTTCACCATACAGTACAGCAAAGAAGAGCCAATTCATGCCCAAAAGATAATGTAATAGTGTATTACTTGTCCCTTATGACTTCATGCAGTTTTTAAGGCATGTGTTTGTTTCCACTCCCCCCATTATTATTATTATTATCATCATTATTTTCAAGACAGGGTTTCTCTGTTTAGCCCTGACTATCTTGTATCGTACTCTGTAGACCAGGCTGGCCTTGAACTCAGAGATCTGCTTGGGATTAAAGACGTGGGCTACCCCTGCCTGGGCTGCCCCTTTCTTTTAAAGACAGACTCTTTGCAGTCCAGACTAGCCACAAATTTAGTATGTAGGTGTAGCACAATTAACCTTAAACTTCTTGTTGTCCTGTCTCTTCCTCTAAATGCTTGGATTATACCTGTGACATCACACTCAGTTTTTGTTTTTAAATGTGGTGCTGGGGTTGGTGAGATGGCTTAGCCTGACAATCTGAGTTTGATCCCCAAGACTCACAAGGTAGAACTAACGACAGGCAAGCCGTGTGGCCTATACACACGCACACAGGCATATGCATGTATGTACACGGTGCTTGGGAACCAAACCAAGGCTCTGTGCATACTAGATGTACCAACTCAGCTACATCACTGCTCCATTCTCATCTAATCTTACACCCCAGGATAACAAGATGGTTTTTATTACCTGTTTCTCCAATAGTTGGAACCCTTAGCATTCTTTTCATAGTCCACATCATAGTAAGCTGTAAGTAAGTCCTTGCCTTGTATCAAATCTTTATTGTCTTCTGTCATATGAGGACAGATACCAAAACTGAAATAAAAAAATTCATTAGCTTTGTCATTTTCTAGTTGTCATATAGAATTACCAAAGTGGTAACATAAGAAGTCATTATCAACATTTAATACAAGTACTGAGCAACATACAGAACCATGATAAGAGTTACTGCGTCTAGACATTATAGCTTCAATATTATGTAGCTAAATTGTAATCCTTTGTATGGATTTTATTTAAGCCAAAACATAGCCTGCTGGGTGACTGAGCTAAAACACAACCAATTACAGATAAAAAGAGGTACTCACATGTTTTCCTGAATAAACTTTTTAATCTTGCCACTGGTCATTTTCTGTTCATTGTATGCCACGGTTTTGTCTTCAAACTTGTTAGCAAGATGTGAAGGGCGAAATAAAGTGATCCCCCTTAAAAACCAAAACCAAAAAGTGTCTTAAACAGCAGAATTGTCTCTCATATTTCATTTAAAGCTCAGAATAAGCTGGACACCATTAGCTGGGTGCAGTGGCTCACACTTGTAATCCCAGCATGCAGGGAGGCAGAGGCAGGCATATCTTTTTGAGTTTGAAGCCAACCTGGTCTGGTCTACAAAGGACTCCAGGGTATGTACACAGAGAAACCCTGTCTTGAAAAAACAAACTAAATAAAACAACCCCCTGGATACCTTTAACCCCAGCATTAAGAAAAAAGAGGAAGGTGTATCTCTAAGTTTGGGGCCAGTCTGGTCTACAAATCAGCCAGGGCTACATAGGGAGATCCTATAGCAAAAAAAAAAACAAAAACAAAAACAAAAAACTCAGACAAGACAGGGGCACTTCGACACACACACCTGTGATCTCTGCTTTTGAGAGGTAGAGGCAGCAGGATCACTACAGAGAGATCCTGCTTAAAACCTTCTGATCTAGTGCTTGTCTGCTTTGGGTTCAATTCCAGGTACCATAACAGAAATAAAACAAAAAGTTCAAACTTCCTTTTAATAAACAAATAAACGTATGGGATAGAGATGCTCAGCACTTAACAGCACTGGCTGTAATTCTAGAAGACCCATGCTCCACTCAAGTGGAGGCTAACACCAGTCTAGCTCCAGTTACAATGGACCCTGACTGCCCCCCCCCCCCAAAGACAAGCTTTTACGCCTTTGCTGGCCTGGAGCTCACTATGTGGACCTGTGTTGGCCCTCCCAACTATAAATAAATCTTTCCTTAAAAAGTATTTCTGCTGGACATGGTGGCGCACGGCGCGCACCTGTAATCTCAGCACTCGGGAGGCAGAGACAGGTGGATCTCTGTGAGTTCAAGGCCAGCCTGGTCTACAGAGTGAATCCAGGCCAGCCAGAGCTGTATTACACAGAGAAACCCTGTCTCAAAAAAACCAAAACCCAAACCAACAAACAAAGGTTGTTAGTGCCTTTTCTATTTTGCTGTTATTTTGTGGCTCATGACTTTAACCCCAGCACTCAGGAGGCAAAGGCAAGCACATCTGAGTTTGAGAGCAGCTTGGTCTACAAAGTGAGTTCTAGGACAGCCAGGACTACACAGAGAAACCCTGTCTCAAAACACAAAATAAAAACCCAAACAGGTGTACCCTGACACATGCAGACTCTGTGTGTGGTGTATGGCAAGCACTTCCTGAGAAGATACTTCCTGAGCTTTGGTCTACAATCATTTCCAATCCAATTGCTACACGCTACCTGGAAACATTTACCTCCCAAGAATCACCTCCTCCAGAGACAGGACTGCTGTAAGTTCAAGTCCAGCTTGATCTACACAGCAAGATCCTTTTCTCAAAAACAAACAAACCAACCAACAAACAAAAAAAGCCAACCACCCCCTTTTATGAGGCCTTCATTGTGATGTCCATGTAGGTTCCCACAGAAGCCAGGACATCTGCCAGAACCCCTGAAATTATAGGTAGTTGTGAGCTGCCTGATGTGGGTGCTTGGAACTCAAGTCTGGTCCTTTGCAAGAGCTCTTAACCACTGAACTATCTCTCCAGCCCCTTTTTCTTTCCTTTCTCTCTCTCTCTTTTTTTTTTTTTTTTTTTGGTCTTTTTGTTATTTTGCCCCCCCTCCCCCTGAGCTGAGGACCAAATCCAGGACCTTACTGAGCTAAATCCCTACCTCCTCTTTTTTTTTTTTTTTTTTTTGAGAGGGTTTTTCTGTATAGCCTTGGCTGTCCTTGACTCACTTTATAGACTAGGTTGGCCTTGAACTCACAGTGATCTACCTGCCTCTGCCTCCCAATGCTAGGATTAAAGACATACATCACTCTGCCCAGTTATCCCTTATCTTTCGTTTTGTTTTTGTTTTTGTTTTTTTGAGATAGGGTTTCTCTGGGTAGCATCCTGGACCTGCTTTGTAGACCAGGTTAGCCTTGAACTCTGAGAGATCCACCTGACTCTGCCTCCCAAATGCTGGGATTAAAGACATGCCACCACTCTAAGGTCTTTGGTAGGTCTGTCTATCATCTTTTAAAAACTAGCTTTTTTAAATACTACTCCTCAGCCCACAAAAGGGGGAAAAAATCACTCACTTTATATATTTAACACTTACATTTGTACATATATTTGCTTATATAAGATGCTTGTATTTAGTCACTTACTCTCCATTATCATCGTATTCCTTCACCAGAGATTCAATGTTGGTATGTGCAAATCGGTAGTTATCTCTCAAGTTGCTGGCTGCTTTTAGGAACTCGGAGTGCCCATCACTGAATAAATCCCTGAAAAAACCTGCACAGAAAATGTAAAAGACAGGGAATAACCAATACTGTTATCTAGTTTTCAAAGCCTTCAGTCTATTATAAACAACATAATTCAGGCTAAGACCAGGCTGCTTTAGATATATGACACAATATTTCTTTCTCTATCCTCTTAAGAAAGTAAGAGAGAGAATTTGGTAGAAATGAAGTCTTCCTTCTAGTTTTCCAGAATAGATCTGGCTGGGCACACTGCCTCACTTCTTAAGAGTTTTAGGAGGCAGAGGCAGGTAGATCTCTGTGAGTTTGAAGCTAACCTGATCTACAAAGTGAGTCCTGGACAGCCGGGGCTACACAGAAAAACCCTGTCTCAAAAAACAAACAAACAAACAAACAAACAAACAAAAACAAACTAGAAAAAGAGAGAGAAAGAAGGAGAGAGAGAGAAAGAAAAAGAGAAAAGAAAGATTAAAACAACATGGCAACAGGGTCTGACGAGTTAGCTTGGGGTTAAGAGCACGGACTATTCTTCCAAAGAATATGGGTTCAATTCTGATACTCATATGGCAGCTCAAAGCTGTCTGTAAGTCTAGCTCCAGAGTAACTGAGACATGCAGGCAAAACACCCACACACATAACACACATAAAACAAAATATGGTCGTACACATGCTTTTAATCCTGGCACCTGGGAGGCAGAGACAGCCACATCTCTGTGAGTATACAGCCAGCCTGGTCTATAGAGTGAGTTCCAGGACAGCCTGGTCTACCCAGAGAAATCCTGTCTAAAAACAAAACCCCCACTATCATCACTTTACCCTTTCTCCCTATGCCTTGTCTGTAAAGGGACTCTTGAGTGCCCTGAAATATACATGCCTGTAATCCTAGACTGAAGGCCATCTCCAGTTCCAGAGCCCTGTAGGTTACTTAATGAGATGCTGTCTCAAACTCTTCTCCCAAAATGCAGTAACAGTGGGACAGGGGATGATGACACATAGTACACGGGACATGGGGATGGGGTTTAGAAATGCCTACTAGGAATGGAGAAATGGCTCAGTGGTTAACAGCACCATGTTGCTCCTGCAAGACCTGGGTTCAGTTTCCAGCACTCAATGGTGGCTCACAACCACCTACAACTTTAGTTTCAGAGGATCTAATGGCTCCTGACCTCTTTGGGCTTCAGGCACACATGTAGTACATGTACATACATGGAAGCAAAACACTCATACAAATTAAGTAGATGAATAAAGAGACTCCTTATGGTTAATTAAGAAAGAAAAAAATTCGTATTTTTGTCTGAGTTGGTACTCAAGGAAGCCAAATGGACATCAGTACCTATGGAGTTAAAATTATACCCAAGGTAGGTGCAGTAAACAGAATTCTAGTTCTCTGGACAAGCAGCAAGTACTCTTAATCACTAAGCCATCTTTCTAGCATACCTGGTAACATTCAGAATTTGTTAAATCCAGGATAAGCCAAATGTACATGGTAAAAACTATCTGCTACTTCAGAGAATCAGCTTTATTTTAGGTTTAGGAGACTAAGAAATATAAACATCGGGTACAGGTTTAAATTTAAGTTTTTCATTTTTTTTAAGGGAACAGGTCTGTTTTTACTATATCTAGAACAAAAGATCTGCCTGTCTCCACATCCCAAAAACTGTATTAAAGATGTGTGCCACTAGGCCCACCTGAGGGTAAGCAATGCCCCCCACCCAAAACACACAGATTTTTCTAGGCATCCCTGGCTGTTCTGGACTTGCTTTGTAGACCAGGCTAGCCTCGAACTCACAGTGATCCGCCTGCCTCTGCCTCCCTGAGTGTTGGGATCACAAGTGTGAGACACTGAGGCCAGCTCATTTTTTGTTGTTGTTTTTGAGACAGGGTTTTTTCTATGTAGCCCTGGCTGTCCTGGCTCTGTTGACCAGGCTGGCCTCGAACCCAAGAAATATATCTGCTCTGCTTCCCGAGTGCTGGGATTAAAGGCATGTGTCGCCACTGCTTGACTGAGGGCAAGGTTTTAACCTCAGTGTGCTACACACACATAAAATTTCTTTTAAATGAAATTAAATGGTTTTTAAAATGAACTTAAACCCGTCCATCTCTAAGAATACAAACCGACACAAGGAACCATTCTCTCTCCATTACAGCATGCTGTCAGTTATCTTTCAACTGCTTCATGTTTGCTTAAGCTGCCTTACCTTTGTGCTTTTCTCACACATGGAGGTTCTTTTTTTTTTTTTTTTTTTAAAGATTTATTTATTATGTATACAGCATTCTGCCTGCATGTATGCCTACATGCCAGAAGAGGGCACCAGATCTCATTATACATGGTTATGTGGTTGCTGGGAAGTGAACTCAGGACCTCTAGAATAACCTCTGAGCCATCTCTCCAGCCCTCATGGAGGTTCTTTAAAGTCCAATCAATTTGGTGGCATAAACACGTATCTGCTACTTACCCACAACCGAGGCATCTTTATCACTAATGAACTTCTTAAATTCCTCCTCAGTTCTGAGAGGAACGGAAGCTGGTCCTGCTTGTTTCTTCAAGTGGCTGACAATTCCATCTTAGAAGATAAAACTTACATTAACACATATAAGTGACAAGGTAAGGGTTTAAAATATTCAAAAGGTACACGTTTTTAATGAAGTTTCTTACTATTCCTGTCCCTAAGCCATCTGATTTCTTTCTGACACACAGAGGTTTAGCTTCAGTGTATGTGTCCTTTTACTTGATTTCAGCCAACAAGGCTAAGTAGTAACTGGTATATCCTTCTAAACATACACATACACAGAAAATTACACTCCTTCATCTTCAAAACAGCAATATAGACTTCAACACACCCCTGTTTCTTCCTTCTTTTGGGAGTGATGGTGGCACCCTACCCAAACTGCCTCCCATAACTCCACAAGTGGCTCTTTCTTTTAGACAGGCCTCTTAGCTGAGGCTGTACAGCAGGGGCTTGCTTTGTCCTCAAACAACCTTCTCCCAACACCTCTAAGTTTTAGGGTTACAAAAATTTGCTACTAAGCCCAACTTATATCAATCAGGTAGTGGCTCAGTAGTGTATAGTGCCTCTGGGCCTAAACAAACTACTCCGTATGCAGACTTTCAAGTTATATGGTAACCTGAAGCCCAGCCCTCTTTTTTATAGAGTCCTATGTAGCTAAGGCTGGCCTTCAACTCACTATATATAGCTAATGATGATCCTGAACTCTGTTTCTGTTTTTTGTTTTGTTTTGTTTTTTTTGAGACAGGGTCCTGGAATTCATAATCTTGACTAGGCTGCCCTCAAACTCACAGAGACCTGTCTGCCTCCTGTGGGCTGGGATTAAAGGCATGCACTATTATACACAGTGGTGAGCTCTGCTTTAAATTTTTGGAGGAATCACCACATTTCCTTACATAGTAGCTATATTACTTTTCATTCCCAAGACAACAGTTCCAATCTCTAAGTTTTCAACGTCTGTGTGTATCTCTTGTACATGCTACAGATCTAACCCAAGGTTATCTCAATCACGGTAAACAAGTGACTCTCCACTGAGCTCCCTTCCTGACCATTTTCTGTGGACCCCCCCAGTTACCCTCACCACTACTTTTTAAATAGAGGCAGCCATAATGAGCACTAACCTGATAGCTAGCACATGCCTGTGCTTGAGGGCACACTCTCCCACACACACACACACACACACACCTAACTCTGGGCTAGCTTGAAATCTTTCTTTAGTCTTTTTAAAATTTTATTTTATTAATTACAATTTATTCACGTTAGCTTCAAATCTTAACAAAACAAAATGTTAATTCAATTTTCAGACTATAATTGGAGGCAGGTATGGTGGCACATTCCTATGCCATTACTTATAAAACTGAGGCAAGAGGATTAGAAATGTCTAAAACTTGTGTAAATGGTACGGTCTACATAGTGAGTTTCAGGACAATCAGAGCTACATAGTGAGACTCTGTCTCAAGAAAGAAAAGACAAGAAAAGAAAAGAAGAGAAGAGAAGAGAAGAGAAGAGAAGAGAAGAGAAGAGGGGAGAGGGGAGGGGGAAGGGAGAAAAGAAGGAAGGAAGGAAGGGAAAGGAAGGAAGGAAGGAAGGAAGGAAGGAAGGAAGGAAGGAACTAAACTAATTACCTTAAGCCTGGCCTGGTTTAAAGCTGTCCAGGGTCCTTACCTGCAGTCCTAGGCCCATCATAAGCACCTGCCTCTTCACCATCTCTAAATATTTTAAGGGTTGGGTAGCCACTGACTCCATACTTATTACAGGTGTTTGTGTTGGCAGTGCAATCCACCTAAAGATTAGAACAAGAGTTATTTTGTTATCTAAGTACCTCCTGCAAGATTTTATCACAGTCCCAAAATAATACGACTGGTTATATCCACAGAGGATCAATACTTCTTGGCATACTTAACAACGATCACTAGGCCTTAAAGTTGTATGGGTGCTACCTAACCACATCAGAACTGTTCAAGAAATGCTTTAGAATGTAATTCCTTGGCTTTCTATAGAAACTCTAAAATTAGTATTTAAGCTACATTCTCATTCCTAACAGTGATTTACTGTGGTGACAGTCATTTCCAAAAGGATGTGCTTAGTATACTCAATGTTTAGCTGGGATAAGATAATTTAATTTTGTACTTAATTTGTTCACTGGTAAATGCATCAATACTTGTTACACAAGAGCAAACGATTGGTTTAAAAACCACAGCAAACACCTTTACAAGACCAACCTTTACAAGATTCTGGGGTTTGATCTCAATGTCCAAACATGGGTCAAGTGAGGTTCAGAAAATTAATGCACAGCCTTACAAGCTTCATTTCATGCACATAGTCACATAAAATAAAAATTACAACTTTTTTTTTTTTTGTTATGTCAAGTTGCTTAACATCTGGATTAAATGTAGTTTTAAAGATTTCTAATATGGGCTGGAGTGATAGCTCAGGGATTTAGAGCACTGGCTATTCTTCCAAAGGTCCTGAGTTCAATTCCCTAGCAAGGACATAATGCCTCATAACCATCTAAAATGAGATCTGGTGCCCTCTTCTGGTGGGCAGGCACACATGCAGGCAAAACATTGTATAAATAAATAAATCTAAAAACAAAAAACAAAAACAAACAATGAAGAAAACAAACCCAAAAAACTTCTAACACACAAAATGCTTACTGGAACGACTATGAGAATACTACAGAATGGCAAAATTTATTAAACATTACTATTTTGCCTGTTTCTTTATGAGACAAGGTCTCAGGTAGCTCAGGCTAGTCCCTTATAGCCACACCTTTACTGTCCTTGTCTGACCCTTTCTTTCCTTTTAAAAAGTATGTTTTATTTTGTGTGCAAGTGTCTTGTCTGCATGTTCACGTACCAGGTGCATGCAGTGCCTGCAGAGGTCAGAAGGCCTCAGATTCCCGGGACTGGAATTAAGAATGGTTGTGAACCACCAAATTGAATACTGGGAAATGAACTCATGACATCTGTAAGAGCAGCCAAATGCTCTTAACTTGGAGCCACCTCCCAAATCCCCTCCCCCAAAGCCGGTTTTATATACTATTAAAGTACTTGGGCCAGTGAGATGGCTCAGCATGAAAGAAGCTTGTTGCTAAGCCCAAGGACTCACATGGCTCCATGCACACTTGCTCCCACACACATTCCTTCCTAGTGAATCCTTTGATGCTCACCTTTGCTAACGGGACTATTCCTTTTAATCTAGTTGCTGCAGCTTCATATTCAGGGGCAAGCCTCTTGCAATGTCCACACCTATTAAAAAGAAAAAAAGAAGCCAGATTCGTAGTTTAGCACAAACTTATTGATATTTTCTATCTAGGGAGAATCTCAAATCATATTTTGTTCCCCCCCCCCAAAGATAGGGTCTTGTGTTACATAGTCCAGGCTGGGACCTTCCTTTTTCAACCTCTGTTGGAGATTTTAACTGTAGGCATGCTAAACCAATTATCCTACTACTAGGCTTTACCCTAAACCCCTATTTTTGAATACTGACTTCTGTCCTGGAATTTACAAAGATCTGCTTGCCTCTGTCTCCCAAGTGCTGAGATTAAAGGCACGAGCCACCAGCATGACTGTTATGAATTACTTCCCAGGGAACACACTCCAGCTGCTCAGGCTCCTTTCCCTTGCTTCTCAAATGTGCTTCCAGGGGTGGAATGGCTAGTGCTTCAGGTGAACCCCAGCACCATTCTCTCTGGCTTCTTTAGTTATCTCAGCTCTTAATACGCTCAACGTACCCATCAATTCTCTTCACAAGAACTGTTCTTAACTCTGTAGTGTCATTTACAGGGCATTTACAGTGACATTTATAGGGCTTTTTTTTGAACAGCAGCATTCTGCTTAGTCTATAATATAACCCTTCTTGTAGATTTCCATCTATGGAGTTAAAGGAGTAACTCCCATGTCCCGTAACCTACCCCGCCACCCCCGGACAAAGAGTTTTTCTGCGTATCCTTGGCTATCCTGAAACTCTATGCAGACCAGGCTGGTCTCAGGCTCAAAGATCTGCCTGCTTCTTGCTTCCCAAGTGCTAGGATGCTTAAAAAAAAAAAAAAAGAAAGAAAAGAAAATTTCACACACACGGCAATTGTTTTTTATCACATTAAAATAATTAGAATCTGTATTTTGTTAATAATTCAAAGCCAGATGGTTGTGGCACACACCTTTAATCCCAGCACTTAGGAGGATATCTCTTTGAGTTCAAGGCTAGCCTGGTCTATAGATCATGTTTCAGGACAGCCAGGGCTAAATAGTGAAACACTGTCTCAGAAAGAAACAAACAAACAAAAAAAACCAATTCAAATACATTCATTCATTACAGAACATAGAAGGAATGCAATGAATGGAACTGGTGAGCTGAGTTCCATCTCTGGGACCTATACGGCAGAAGAAAGGGTCCTCTGACCTCCACCCATGCACTATGGCACGTACATACCAACAACTGCCTGCCATGTACACAAAATAAAGAATATGCAATAAAATTAAAAAAGAAAAGAAAATGTAGTACATTTACACAATGGAGTATTACTCAGCTGTTAAGACACCCAGACCAAAAAAGAAAAGCATAATATATATTCCATGTAAGTGGATATTAGCTATTAAGTGAAGGACAATCACACTACCACCCACTGGGGGAAAGTGGGCATGGAACACGATCTTCCTGAGAAAGGGAAACAGATTTTGTAGGTGGACTGGTACAGGTGGGCATGAAAACAGGAGGGGTCAGGTGGGGAAGAGAGGGACGAAGGGGTAGAGTATAGCAAGTCAACTGGAATAGAGGGGCATTTATGGGGAAATGTGGAAACGTCCTGGAATCTAGGGAGACCCTAGCAAGGCTCTCTGTAACCACACAAGGCTTCCAGTGGCAGGACTGAGACCTTAATGCACCACAAAACCACCGACCCACACCTATGCTGCCTGCAAGATGTGTTGGGGCAATGGTGGCCCCAGTGACTGGTCTAACTTGAGGCTCAAGCCCATGGCCGACGTCGCCTAGAGGGCCATTAACTGCAAGCTAATGGCTCACAGACCTAGGGTAGAACCAAAAGCAATGAACATCCCTGTCCCCAAAACTCAGTAAAATGATTCCTAACCGATATTCTGCTACACTCATAGATTGGTACCTAGCCCAATGAGGAGTCCTCCAGGAGCTGGCACCTGACAGAATATGCAGAGACTCACACCCAAACATTAGGTGATGCTTGGGGAACCCCACAGAAGAGGGAGGAAGGATGTAGGAGCCAGAGAGGGTCTAGGACACCAGGAGACATGGCTCACAGAATCAAGGGCCCTCAGAGACTGAAGCAACCACCACAAAACCTGCATGGATCTGCACTAGTTCCTCGTCTTATGTCATGAAGCTTGTGTTCTTGTGGGAGTGAGGGTGACTGACTCTCTTGCTTGTTCTTGGGAGCCGTTTCCTCCTTGTGGGCTGCCTAGTAGTCTTGATATGAGGGCTTGAACCTAGTCTTACTTCATCTTGTTATGCTGAGTTTGGTTGATTCCCTGGAAGACGTGACCTTCTCTGAAGGGAAATGGTGGAACAGTGGGTCCAGGGGAGACTGGGAGGAGTAGAGGCTGAGGTATTTTATGAGAGAATAGTAAATAAATTAAAAAAGACACAACAGCATATTTTGAATGCATCTATGATGTCACCGATTATGAGAAGAACCATTATTTTATATATCATTAAGGCTATGTTAGCAGGTGGTAGCGGTGCATGCTTTTAATCCCAGCCCTCGGGAGGCAGAGAAAGGTGGATTTCTGAGTTCAAAGCCAGCCTGGTCTACAGACTGAGTTCCAGGACAGCCAGGGCTACACAGAAAACCCGTCTCCAAACCAAAAAAGGAAAGAAAGATGTTACTACCTAGGCTATAAAATAATTTGTGTTATCCACGAAATACAGGATATTACTATTTATTCACTGCCCAGTCTGAAGAATCAATACCCGCCCCCCAAGCCAACAGCTGGCTAGTGGTAGCACATATCTTTAATCCCAGCACTTGAGAGGCAGGTGTATCTCTGAGTTCAAGGTCAGCCTGGTTCAGAATGAGTTCCAGGACAGTGAGTGCTACACAGAGAAATTCTGTCTCAAAAAACATTAAAAAGGGTGGGTGGGGGGAAGCAATGCAGCTGAAACCTTCCTGTACTCCCCCATCCTGAGTTTGGTGTCTATTATTTGGTCCTTTTATACTTTTTTCCTGAGATGGACTTCATCACTGACTACAGCTGGCCTCTCTGTAGTGCAGGTGGCTTGTGCAAATGTACTTTTATATTCTTAATGTGCATTTGGGTGTGCAAGATGGCTTAGTAGGTAAATGTGCTTGTCACTAAGCTACATGACCAGAGCTTGGTTTCAGTATGATGCAAAAAGCAGATCAGCTCTGGTAGGTCACCCTCTGACCTACACACACACAAAATGTAAACAGTATTCTGGAGCATGCTGTTAGTGTTTTCTTTTGTACTACTACTTGGTCCTTCATTTAAAAACACTGACAACTTTTCAACAGGTGTCCTAAACACCTTAGAGAATATGCAGTTTTACAGGTGTTTCTTTTTAATTTTTAAATCTTTTGTGTATGTGTGTGGGTATGCCACAGGTTGTATAGGTGCCCATGAAGGTCAGAAGTGGTCATCAATTCTTTTGGAACTGGAGTTTGAGGCAATTGCAAGGCCCCAGGATAGAGGCTGGGAATAGAATCTGGGATCTCTGCAAAAGCAGCATTCACTCTCAATCACTGAGCCTTGTTTTTGAGCTACTCTCTTAAAATTCTTTATCTAGACACACTTTTCAGAGGCACAATACTTTGTAGTGAAAGAGCACCTTGAAGTCCTGACCCACCATCTCCAAATTCTGGGGAACTGTAGACATGCACCACCTTGCCTGACTTTTTCCCTTCTGTTTTCTATTTTCACTGTCTCTAGAGGGGTCACAGAACTCTTCAGCCTTCTTCTCAAAGTGATCCCTCTGCAACCCATTGAGTTTTTCTGAAGAGATAATGTACAGCTGGTGCTAGGTGTATACTGACAAGAATATGCCACACACCCACATGCATGGCAAGCACACCTGTGGGACTGTTAGGACTTTTGGGATGAAAGAGCAGGTGTTTGTGGCAGCCCTCTGGGAAAAGCATACCAACTTATGTTTTTATTATTTCCCATGATCATATAATACCATGCCAGTCTCTTGCAAAAGTTAACTTCTTTACCTCAACTGTCCTGAAAAACGAGACAAAAAAATGAAAAATATAAAAATATTCATAAATATATATAAAAGTATTCATACAAGGCCAAGTGTGGTGGATCTCTGACTTTCAAGCCAGCCTGGTCTACACAGTGAGATCCTGTCTCCAAAAAGAAAGCAAAGTAGGCATGGCTCATGTCGAGAATCCCCAAGAAGCCCGGCGCGAAGGCACCAGCCCATAACCCCAGCCATCTCGCCAGCCTGTTTTTGAGAAAGTATTTTCAGTTCAAGGCCTTACCTGAGGGAGGAAAGGAGAGAAAAGAGAAGAGAAGGGAAGGCGGGGGGGGGGGGGGGGGGGGGGGGGGGGGGAGTGAATGTAGCTCGGCATCAGAATGTTTCCTTAATGTGGTTAAGGCCTGGGGCTCAACTTCCAGGATGAGAGCAGCACACTGGCAATGGGGTAGACAGCAAGGATGGCACCTACTAACCTGCCACATTTGCCCAACAACCAGAGATCCCCAGAATCCATGTAAAGGTAGAAGGAAAGAACAAACACCATTAACCTGTCCTTGGCCCCACAATAGCAAACATTTTTTAAAGCGACAGACAGCTGGAGAGATGGCTCAGCAGGTAAAAGCACTTGCTAGTCTAGCAGAGGACCGGAGTTCTGTTCCTGGCACCCACAACCCTGTGTAAGCCCAGTTCCAGGGTACTTGATATCCTCTGTTCATACACACAAAGGCCCCCATAGGCTCATATTTGAATGCTTGGTCTCTCCTTGCTTACGCAGAACCCTTGGGAGGTGTGTCATTTGGGGGGGGGGGGGTGTTCAACTTTGAGGTAAAAAACAAAACAAACAAAAAAAAACCCCCACATCATTCTTACTTAGCGCTTTCTGCTTCAAGGTTGTCTCACCATGTGAGCAGAGCCCTTAGCTACTGTTCCCTGCTATGATGGACACGGACTCCAAGCTTCTGAAACCGTAAACCTGGAATAAGCTTTCTTTAACAAACTGCCTTCGTCATGGTGTTTTGTCACAACACAGAACCTGAGAAGTCAGTGTGCTACAAGCTAAGATTAAAACCAATTGCTCTAAGCAGTGGCACCATCCATAAGACCAACAAATGTACAAACAGTTCCTATGAGAATGGGAAAGACTGCCCATTTCAGACAACCAACCAGGAAGAGGATCAGGTGTACTTTAAGGGAAATGAGGGTCTATCACAGAACCCATTACCTCTTTTACCCATTCCTGGCCAATATTAAAACCCAGAACTCACCACTCTCAGAGATGGTATTGAACCACAGATAACTTCAACATGTAATACTCAGTAGTTATCACTTCATGCTGCACTGCATCTCATACAATTATTTTAGCCTCTGATAGAAGTGGACAGTTCTTTCCCTATAGGAATCCCAGTCTGGAGAAGGATTAATGAGTAAATTGTCCAGGGAAGGATAGAGTTGCAATGAAATCTCAATGTTGAAAAGACTGGGAGCAAGAAAGGAGAGCCAAGTAAAGGAATACGGAAGAACACACAAAACAAACCGCCAGCAAACAGTAAAGTGCATGGAGAGAACGCCTGTAATCCCAACTCTCTGAAGGCAGAGGCAGATGGATCTCTGTGAGTTTGAGACCTGCCTGGTCAATGTAGGGAGTTCCAGTATGGCCAGAGCTACATAGTGAAACTCTGTATAAAAACAGAAAAAAATTAAAACTAACATTAAAGATTTAATTTTAGAGGCTGGGGACACAGTGCTTGCACTGCAGACATTAAGGACCAGAAATCTACAACATAAGGAGATGTTTAAGACTTAAAAACATTTAACTACTGCTATTTCTCAGAGAAATTCAGATATTCATATCCCTACAAATGCACAGGTTAGTGAAAAAAAGGTAACTCACACCTCTACATCAAGTGTTTAGGAGGCGAAGACAGCGTAATGGTCCACAGCCAGGCTCTAGGACATAAAAAACTTGTTCCAAATGAACCAAACCTCGTAAGAGAAACAGTGGCTTGCAAAGAAATCTTTCACTTTCACTTACAAAATTAAAGGGGTAGAGCTAAGTGAAGATGGAACCTAGGTGGGGCTTTGATGAGGCAGGCAAGCGCTGTACCGCAATCCACTGCACCCAGACTCCATTTTGACACCTCACCTCGAATACACTTGTTGAGACATCCCTCCAGCCTCCCTTTCCCCCCACTCTAAGTGTATTTTTCCCCTTACTTTGCGTGTATGGGTGTTTTGTCTGCATCTATGTCTGTGTATCGTGTGTGTAGTGACTAAAGAAGCCAAGAAAGGAGCTGGATCTCCTGGAACTGGAGTTACAGACAGTTGTGAATACTGGAAATTGAACCCGGATCGTCTGGAATAGCCAGTGCTCTTAACTGCGGAGCCATCTATCCAGTCTCCATTTTACTGTTAATTAGGTATCTCATATGGTGTGGTGGTGCACACCTTTAGTTTCAGGCCTCAGAGGTCCAGGTCAGCCAAAGCTACAGTAAGACCCTATCTCAAAATTCTTCATTGTTTCTAACAGGGAACAGTACTCCTGTTATGTGCAAGAGAAAAGAGTAAATAAGTAACATAGAACTCAATCTCTAGAACTTGGTGTGGTGGCCTATAATCTCAGCATCTGGGAGGCAGAGACTTAGAAGAATAAACCCAGTCTGAGTACATAAGACTGTCCCAGAAAAACAAGCAAAGGAACAGATTAAAAACAAAACAAACAACTGTTAAAACTAATCTTTCCTGCTGGCAACTTGGAAGATGATTTTATCTTCTAAGCAGACACCACAGCAGAAAGCCACCCAACTCTTGATAGTTCAATGCATTATGGGGTATGAAGTCTTCAGAAAAGCAGGTGCAACAATTTTTAGTAGAAAGACAAGTCTGAAGCCAGGTGTGGTGGGGCATTCAGAATAGAGTATCAGGAACTGAAGGCTAGCTAGGCAACTCAAGACCCTGTCTTAAAAGAAAAAGAAGGTCAGCCTGAACTATACAGAGGGGCCGACTTAAGTATATATACACATACACATACATACGTATATGTGTGTGTACATATATATATTTTCCCCCTTCAATAATGAGGATTGAACAAGCTAGGCAAGCATTGAGCCATACCCCAAAGCCTTAACTAAAATCCATACTTCAAACTAATTGTTTAAAAACCCCCAATTCTCAACTTGTATGACCCCTTCAGTCAAAGAAGCTGGACCCAAGTGACACCCCCTCAAAGTTAATGGCATGATTATATAACCATCATAAACTGTTTCTAAGAGGAAACATGAATTCTAGAGATGTATAAACACTATCCGTAATGTGTAATCTGTCTGAGCACGAAATATCCCAGGCTCAGAAACACTTTGTTTCTTGCCTCTAGTATAGCTTTCTGATTCAGGCAGTCTTTGGTACAGGACTTTTGAGTGTGACTAAGTCAGATAAGCTTGGACTGTAATGATCCCACAGGGCCAGGAGCAAGGATAATTTACAGTGAAACTGTTACACACTGTTTTACTGGTACCACTGAACAGTTTTGAATTAAGGGTCACTGTGCCAGGAGGGCAAAAAATACAAATCTACTTAACTATCTCTGTTAAAGTAACTAGCTTGTTGTGGTAATAATTTGTAAGTTGCCCAATCTTCCGCTAGTGACAAAACTAGAATTCCTATTTGCTCTGCCTCCCCAAGAAAGTTTTTATTTGGGGGTCACACCTAATCTAAACAGTTTACACTTTTGTCCATTAAGGAGTCCCTGAGATGGAGTATTTCTCCAACAGTGGTTACTTTCTCACTGACATTGTTATACCTTTCTAGAACTATCTTAGGCTGACAATTATGATTAGTGAAATTACTCTTGTTCTTTTACTTTCTCTTTAATAGAGGCGCCTGCAGCTTAAAGTAAACTACTGTAAGGCCCGTGTCAAGAAAGCTCTTAGGATCATTTTGTAGGCACTGAGTGACCTTGGTTAGAAACCTATGGCTCTGGGGTGGGGACAAGAAGAGAGAAAACAGCTTGGGATCCACACTTACGAGGACCTCTGCCTCCTCCCTAAGGCTTTGGGATGCCTGGCTGGTGATGCAGACCGAGGAGGGGACATTTACACTGACTCACCTAGATACTGATAGGGAGACAGATACACCGGAGGGGGAGGGGATACCCTCCACAGAGGAAGTGCAGCAGGAACGCGGAGGAAAGGACGTGGCCCTCCGGGGGAGCCCAGGCTCTTTCCTTTCCGGATCTGCTCCGTCCCCACCCCCACCCGCGGCGGAGCACCTCCGGGCCGGCTCCCCGTCGACTAGCCGGGAAGCAGCCGCAGCCAGGCCTGCCGGAGAGCGGAGGGCGCCAGCGCTGCGTAGGCCCAACCGCCCCCGCGCCCAACCGGCCTTGACCCCGCAAGCCCAGGGGGCCTCACCAGGGCGCGAAGAACTCGACTAGCATGAGCCCCGCCGAGCCCGTGTCGGCGACGCGACTCTCGAAGTTTTCGTCCGTGAGTTCCAACACGTCGGAGGCGGCGGCGAGGCGGGCCGAGGCGAGCAGCAGCGCCACGCCCGGGAGCAGCGCTAGGCGGCCGGAGCGCATGGCGGCGAGACGCGGCGGGGACGGTCGGAGGGTCGGGGCCGGGGGTGGGGAAGCCGAGAAGGGGGACACCCACAACCTGCAGCCGCCGCCTGCGCTCGCGCGTCTGGCCCGGGCAGACCTGCCGCCGAGGTCCCAACCCCTTAGGCCGGCTCGGGCCCGCAGTGTGGCAGCCTCCGATTGGCTGCGTCGCGCTGCGTCGGGCGGGCCGAACCAGCTGGTAACTGCCGATTGGCCGGCGCGCGAGGCGGGGCGGGGCGGACGCTGCGGCGACGTCCGCGGCGGGGGTCGGCGGGAAGTGGGGCACGGCGAAGCCGGAGCGGCCCTCAACTCCGCCAACCGGGGAGGAGTGGCGCTCGGGGCGCCGGCGCGAAGGCCGAGCGGTGAAGTCAGGGCCGAGTGGGCGGAAGTGAGGCCCGCAAGCGGCCCGGAGCGGCGCTTGAGCTGCCCGGCTCCCTCGCTCCGGGGCGTTGCGGCGCTCACACGCTTCGGAGCACAGCGCGACACGTTTTCCAAATGTCAGGCTGTTGCTTTGTCCAATTATAGGGCGTAGTAACCCCACATCCTGCTGCCGCCCCACCTCGTATCCTGCTTTGTCAGGTCCACGTGAGGTCTGTATTCTTTGTCCTACCTTAGGCCTCCTGCCCTCCTGCTTTCACACCGATCCCGTTGTTGTTTGCTTGAGAGGGTGGGGAACTGAGAATTGAACCCGGAACCTTCCACAATGCTAGGCAAGCGACCCATCGCAGAATTAATAACCCTAGTCCGGACCTTTTGACTTTTTTGAGACATGGGCACACTAAATTGCTCAGGATGGCCTTGAATTCATTCTGTAGTCCAGGCAGGTCTAGAACATTCTATACTCTGGCCTCAGTCTCCTGAGACTGGGAGCGATGGTCTGCACTACGTGTGTGTGTGTGTGTGTGTGTGTGTGTGTGTGTGTGTGTGTGTGTG